GCGACTCCTTCCAGAAAGTTCAGAAGCAACGATGGGTCTGCTGGCCTTAAGACTTTAAGGAAGAATGGGCAGTCGACGATGGAAGAGGAAAGAGATCTCCGGCGAAGATTCAGGAAAAGGCTCTCTTGAGGAAGTTCGGAATGGCGAAACAAGAAAATGCAAGAGGAACCCCATTTATATAGTGGCAGTTTCATCATTGGGCGCGAAAAACGAAACGATGCATTTAATGCACACGACATCCTAAGCCGGGGAAAGCGGCTCGAGGCAATGATGAAGCATTTGTGGTTGTTGGAAAACCCTTCGTCTCCTTACGACGCGTGCCCTCGGTGTCAGAAGATCGAAGGCTGGGGGGCAGTTGATGGGACTTTTCTGAAATACTCCATGATGAAGACACGTGTCCTCGGTATTTACCAAAACACTGTTGCTAAGATCAAGCACCATCGGCGCATAAAGGTCCTCGCCCCCGAGGTACTCGTCATATAGGATCATGGCATTCAGTACGAGTTACAACCAACACGTAGCCTCGGTCTGATATGGTACCTCGGTCGGTATACCTCCCTCGGTTCCGAGATGGCCTTTCCTCGGTGCCGAGAGGTACCCCGTCCTGGACGCTTCCTCTACTCCAGGATAAGCTATTGACGTACAGGTCATTAGCCTAGGCTAGTCTAGGCTATTCATCATGACCTCGTCTTACACAATTAGTGTCAGAACGTACTGGAATGCAGGGGCCACAGCCAATGGGGGATGGACGCGTGGCGTATGATATCACATCGAAGACAGAGAAACCGCATGTCGTTGCTGACACGCGACTTGGGAAAGCAAACGATTAATTATACCATTCCCTTGATGAGACCGCATTTAATGCGGTAAGGCTCGGAAATGAAAGGCAATAAATGCTTCTAATACAGAGCATTTATTGCATCCTCCCCGAGAGGAGTACATTGTACCGTCGGCATCCCGATGACCCAGCATTGATTGCTCGGGACCCCGAGAAGTTAAGAAGAGAAGACATTCTTCATCAGAATCAGTGCGCACACTGCCTGTACCTAATGATCATCTGTTGACTACACTGACAGCAATCATGAGCTTTTGAGGTATAAATACTCCTTGCAAAAGGCAAGACGGGTATGCAACAAAAAACTCTTTACTACAATACACACTCAGTGTTTTCTCCTTCCTCTCTCTCTCTCAAAGACTGACTAGATCGTCGGAGGGGATACGCCGGAAAACACTCCGGCGCCCTTCTAACTTGTTCTTCTTTGTTCCAGAAACCCCTTTCGGCCTTACTGGATCGTTCTTCCGCTCCCCCAGGGTCTCCCGTTGCCGTTCCAGGTTACCACCGGACCTCGCAGGCTGTTCCAAGCAGCGTGGTTGGTCACTCAACTAGCTCACTCAAGTTTACCAAGGGAGAGATCTGTTCTCGTTTTTTATATTGTGCAGGATCTTGCACGCACAGTCACAACAATATTATTGAATCATATCATTATTAAATTATTAAATCAACAAATTATGTCAATTTTGTATGTCCCAATAATGTTACTCAATATTACGAGAGAAAATTATCGATAATTAATCTTTGAATATTGACCCGGCAAGTAAACTACAAGACAATTAAAAATTTAGAAATTCCTCTAATGCTTAAGTCAATGTTACTATTATTAACACATGAATAAGTAAAAAATAAAAAATAAAGAAAAATTATATGCAAGAGAACCCCAGCGGGGCTAAGAATCCGACGTGTACAAAAAAAATAATAATCTTTTTAATGAAAATGACCGTTAATTATCAAACACCCACCCATGACCCAACCCCACCCAATTGACAGGGTATTAACTATGATTTTCCCACGGAAACGCGTGGACCACGTGCTGATTTCTCAGACGTCACGTGGGTTCCAGTCCATTATACTAAAAGAGAGAAACTTCCGATCCTCCAGTTGTTAGTTGGAAGAGGGAGTTATAGAGGAAAGTGTTTGTGTCCTTATCAGTAGGAGTAGGGTCTTTAAGGATTACAGACAAAATCCCCCAATTCCGCGTTCAGTGCGTGTGTAGTGAAATTTTCCTTCTGATTTTCCTGCCATCCAAACAAGGAAAGGGTGGGGCTGGTGGGGTTCTTGAAGATGATGATGGATGGTCCTAACCTGACTGAGTCCTCTATGATGGCTTGAAAGGGTTTGGAGTTGGACCACACCAACGATGATTTGGTCTCCACTTATGACTGACTCGTATAAAAAATAATCCATAATACACTAATTAGGTCGTCAATTATTATTTTATATAACTAAAAGTTATTTTTAAAATAAATAAATTTTAAATATAAATTCTTTATGTGAAAACAAGTTAAATGATTATAATATAAGTTATATTTTTTGTTAAAATAAAAATGTTATAGTGTTTGAATGATATATTAAACGAGTAATATATGAATAATATGTGAATTAAATAGATATATTATTAAAAAAAAGGGGGATAAGTGTCATATGAAGGGCTAGTCATCCTTTAACTGGCAAGTGTGTTTTATTTAAAAAATAACTTGGGCAAAAGATGGATATTTGTCTAATGACCACGCATGCATTGCAAGCATGGTGACAAATTTGGTGACGTAAGCTGAACGAGTTTTGGCTATACAAGGTGGAGAGTGAGAGAGAGAGAGAGTAGAATAAACAAAAAAAACTTAAGAAATTTAGGGTCAAAATTTGAGCAATAATTTTATTTTTGATCGCTATCAAATGTGTCCGAGTTTTAAATCCTGGACTACATGTGTATTTATCAAACACAGTTTCACGACTGACCCGGTTTAGGCCCGGTCATGAAACCCAAGTTAAGGGGAACAATAGTAATTTATATACAAATATATTATCATAATAGTCACATATTTCTGCGCATACTAGACATGAGTATATGACAGCATTAAATATTGAATCTCATTTTTAAATCTCATCTTTAAGTTTGGAGAAGCTAATTTAAATCCTTTCCAAAAAATATATCAAACAACCCCTAGAATTTTAGGTGCGAGAGAAAAGCTAAACTACAGCGTAACCCATCATGGGACAAAAATAGAGAAGCAAGATGGACTCAACATCCTCAAACTCGAGTTTGAAGATAAAATTCTAATGTAAAACATGTGACTACAGATTACATAGAGAGTGAGAGTCGCGGGCATTCAAAATACAATGAAAGATTACAAAATAATAGGATAGATAAAATGGGTCAGACTCAAAATTAAGTGTGATTATTGTTGTTTGATTGATTCAAATCGGGCCAAATGATTAAAACTTATAACATAGTTATGAACTCCTTTAATTTTGGGCCTTATTTCATTGTTTAGACCTTCAAATCTCCCTTTTAATTTGTCGATTTAAAAAAAATTCAAAAACTAATAATAAATCATAAGAGATTTTGAATTTAGTATTATCAATTTTTTTATATTTTAGATGACACGTGCTTTTATGTTAATTTGTTGGATTGTAATTTTTTATTTTTGACAAATTTCGTATAATTAATAATTTTGCTTCAATTATAGGAAATAATTAGAGTTTTGATGGTATATATATCAATTATTCAGTCAATCAATCATATTTTTCAAAAAATTTCTCATATTTTCTTTGCGGATTCAAAATTTGCATTTTTTGCATAAAGAAGTGATGATTTCTTTGTGTTATTTGTTTACCGTTGAGTTAAATTTTCTCTTGCATATTATGTGTGCAAATAATTTAACCACTTCACTTTTTTTTGGTGATAAAAATACATTAGCAATAACATGTGCCTGAAATCAATCTGCTATATCAAAAATTGAACATCAATAGTACAACATTTATATAACAATTGATTTTTATTTTCCTTTTCTTTAATTCTGTAATTTAAAATTAAACTTAACAGAGAGAAAATAAGAAAGAGGTAGGTGTGAATTAATGAGGTTGTCTAGTATTGAAGAGTGTGTTATTGAATTGTTTGACATTGAGAGTAATGCAGAGAATATGATATTTTTAAGCGGAGAAAAAAAATTTAAGATGAATATTGTACCATTAAATCAAAATACATGAAAATTAGTTCAATTTTAACTATTATTATTTTTTATAAATCGAGAATTAAACTTTTTAATTATAATATTAAATAGATATCACTAATATTTAAAAACCTAACACGTTCAGTGTGTGTATGTGTGTGTGTGGGGGGGGGGGGGGGGGGAGAGAGAGAGAGAGAGAGAATATTTCCCAAATGGGGAAGTGGCTTTGTTGTCGATCTAATATTATAAACTCTTTCCCTTTCTAATATCTTCACCCAACATGTTGATAGATATGTTGTCTTTACCTTTTGGACCACTCGCTTATTAAATGAATTGGACCTCTCCATTGCCTTACCATAATCCGGCCGAAAAGGGTTTCTTTTTGTAAATTTTTTAGATTAGGTGACCAAGCCATCACTTACCTATAAACATAATGGGGGAAACTTTAGATATATATTCTAATTAATTTAATGGACCATCCCATTTCTTTATAATATTCTTCTATAATGAAAGATCCTTCTCTTTTCCGATCAAATCAGAATCAATAGTAATAATAGCTTGATATTCAATACATAAACTATAATTTAATAGTATGGGATTAGGCGAATCATATTCAAGGGTGTGACTCGTGTTGGTATCCTTCAAAAAATAATTGTACTTGGTACGTGATTACAAGTATTCAAAATTTAATCATGTAGGATGAATTTCAAAGTGATGGAGAAGTCCCTCGTTACCCAAAAATATATATATTTATTATATATACACACACAAAGCACTAGCACTCTCTTTAGCAAAACTCACTCCTAGACTTTTCACAGTACTCAGTAACTTTTGAAGCTAAAGCAACCCAATGAGCTCTAAAACATAGCAAGAAAAGAAAACGAAAGAAGCAGCTTCATCTTGAAGCTGTAAAAAGTGATTTTAGAGAGGTGGCGTGGGGTGGGGGGGGGGGGGGGGGTGAGGTACAATCGCCATTATTGACATTGTCTTCCAATGGAGACTGCGCAAACCATGCTCTTGTACTATCACATATCCTCTTATCTTATGTTGGATATTGGAGAATGGAGAGGCCTTTCTTTCTCATTTGTCAAAAGGATAGCTCCAGCTACTCCACAGACTTTCTCCTTCAGAATTCTTCGGCGAGTCATCACACGGCGGCGACGACTTCATTCTCGGCGGACTCACAAGCAAACCCTCCGCCATGTCCACCAGTATATTTGGCATGTCAAACAGTGCCTCCTCGTCAATAAATTCCTGGCCTGATATGTTTTCATTGTCAGCCGCGCTTGGTTCTGAGCTTTCACCAGCTTCGGGCCGTGGCGGCGTTGCTGGCGCTCTATCGGCGGCGGCGCTTGCAGCGGCGGCGCGTATATCACTAGCTGACGAAGACGCCGGAATGGGATAGGAAAGAACCAAATTCGGAAAATTCAAGGTAGCATCGGTGCCTTTCAGTGCCAAAGCCGCCACATCATAGGCCGCCGCCGCCATTTCTGGTTTTGGGTATGTACCGAGCCATATACGAGTAGTTTTACGAGGTTCGCGTATTTCAGACACCCATTTTCCGCTTCTACATCGGATTCCTCGATACCTCGGATGTCTTCCCGACGATCCGCCGCCTCCAGACGGTGAAGGAATGGTGGCTATGTGCGGTTGGAGCCGGTTGGATGGTGGTGGAGGCTCTTCATGACCAACATTTGATAAAGAGTAGTTGGGTGATTCGTCAGAATGGTATAGTGTTCTGGGATTTGGTGGTGGGTCATTTCGGCGCATGCTAGCAGGATTAGCTATACATTAAATAAGATTGTGTTTAAGGCTTTGAGCTATGTGGATATGGTGCGTAGGATTAGGATATGTGCAGTGGTTAAGGTTGGTTGGTCGTTTTAAGGGGACAGAAACTCAATGCCAATAGCGTGGGGAATTCGCGGATCCCTTGGTTGGAACCCCTGTGATTAAGGGTTAATACTACTTTACTTACTGAATTTAGACATGTGAGCATTATGCACACACCACACGTAATGGGCGCAGGCTAGCAATTAGCTGTTGTCTACTGTCTTCAACTCTCTTCGATTCTATCACTTCTTTAGTTGTTTATTAGCAATTTGCTAGTTCAGTGTTGCGGAGTGTTATGGACCTTATGGTATATAAATGCACGGTTCAGTATAGTATTTTTATTTTTATTGAATAAAAATATATAATTTGTGTATTTTTTTTATTTTATATTTTTTTAACAAAATCAATAGTCCACGTGATTTTGGGCATGACAAAGATGCTTAGCCTCACCCCCTCTTATGACATGTTTGGATGGATTTTTGGAGACGATTTAAATTGACTTAAATAAATCTTTTCAAACTTAGATCCCTCCTTATAAAAATGAAATTTAATGTTGAACTCAGTTCAGAGTCATATTTAGTATGCATCATATATATATGTAAGACTCACAAATATATCATTATTATCATAATATATTTATTTATATTACTAATAAAACTATCTTAATATAAAAAACTTTTGAATCTCTATGTGACTTTTATTAAGAATTACAAAGACCATTATATTATTTCACAATTAAATATCTAAATTATCATCATATCTTTATATATTTAAATATCTAAATTTTCTATAGCATACATTTTAATTATCTATTTATTTTCTATGTATAAATATCAATTTATATAAAAAAATTGATTGAATATATTATCTTTAAAAAATATGCTTTATTATATTTTTAATAAAGTGTTCAAAAAAGTTTTGAAAACTCCATCAATTTAATATTACACATCTCATATGCAAAATATTTTTATTTTCTCTTTCATCAAAAAGTTTAATTCTTTTATTTTCAAGATAAAAAATAATTATATATATTATTTTTTAAAATAAATTTATATGACATCAGTATAATATTTCAACCATAATAAACTTTTTAAGTTGTATTAAGATTTTATGTAAAAATAGATATTATAATGTATTTTTAAGTAAATTTTAATTTTTTCAGAATTTTAATATGTTTGATAATATATATTATAGAGCAGTATATTAAATTTTATCTGAATTCACCTAATTAATTCCTAATTACAAAGGGTCGAGTTTACCATGTTTAATAGGAGACCAGCCTAGCCAAGCCAGCATTCAGAGAGCTTACCACAGGAAAACCAACTACACTAAGAAAGACCCAGGGTGGGGCTCGTTGAATAAACTCGATGGTTGCATTCTTTTTTTTTTTTTTTTTGAGTGGTCTCTTCAAAATAGAATATTAGATTAGAGTCCAGTAGGTAGGTATGAGAGGATTAATGTCGGATCCATAGGGACAAATGATTGGTTTACTCATTTAAAGCAATTTACGCAAATGACTCTCCTTAACAGAATATATTCTTTCTTGCTACGGGGCCCATAAAAGGGTTGTGGATGCTGTTGTACGAACATAAGATGCTAGATATCTTACGTGCATTATATTTTCAATAAAATGTTCAAATTTTTTTTTAAAATTCTATCAATCCATTATTACTCATCTCATATGAAAAAAAATAACATTATGCTTATATATGTGTATTATCTTTTTATCGAAAAAGTTAACCCTTTTATTTTTTACGATAAAAAATAATCGTAAATACAATTGTTTTTTAAAAATTTATATTACATTAATATAATTCTTCAGTCACATTAAACTTTTTAAACTGTATTAAGATTTTATGGGAAAATAAATATTATAGTGTATTTTTAAGGAAAACTTGAATTGTTTAGAATTTTAATATGCATGATAATATATATTGTAGATTAGTGTATTAAATCTTATCCCAATTTACCTAACTAATTCCTAATTATAGTAAAGTTCCATGTGCGCAATGAATTTCACACAATAGATGAAAGAGATAGATTTCTTTCGTTGTGAACTCGTGTTCGTCAAGAAAGTCGATGACACCGTGGTAAAGGAAGAACCAAGATGGCCCAAAGGGGCCTAAAGAGTGGTGATGAATTACTCCAGGGGTTGTCCGATCGATTTCAGTAGGTCGCAGGCGATTCCTGGAACACGAAAAACGAGTTAGAAGGGCGTCAGAGTATTTTTCAGCGTATCCCCTCCAACGATCAAGTCAGTTCTTTGACAGAGGGGAAGAAGATCATTGTATTTTGTTTTTTAGGAGTGATTTTGTGTACCTTTGCTTTACATTTTTGAGAGCTATTTATACCTTCAAAGACTTATCATTACTGATGATCCAGAAAGTAGGTAATGCCTAGACATGGGGCAGTGCACCTTTTATTTTGCATGGGGAAGGCTGCGTTATTAATTGATTAGGCTCCCGAGCATTAAGTGCTCTTCCTTCAACGTAGATGCATTAAATACTTGGGTCTTGAAGCATTTAATGCCCCTTACCCTCGACTTCCCAAGCCTCTGTGGACGTCCCATCCTTCTGAGGGGATATATTAATGTTTATTTGAGATGACAACATGTTAGGAACAATGTTATCAGAATCAGACCGACCATCGAACCGATAAAGGGACCGGGTCAATGGTTCACTAGTTCAATCGTTAGGCCAACTAGTCGAATCAGTCATATAATAAAAAAATACAAATATATATATAATAATTATAAAACATAATAATTTAACTAAAAATATGAAATATATCTACAATGCATACACATAATATTCACAATCTCATTACAAAGAATATTCACAGTCTCAATTCACAAATAGCCAATTCTGGCTTTAATCCTTCAAAACATAAATTTTCAACAAAATTCCTGCAACAAAGCCAAACTGTCTGTTACAACTTTAGAATTGATCACCCAAGTGCAGGTTGTCACGAAGTAATATAATACTTGGAAGTCCGAGGTCGAACCACAGGGAATTATAACAAAAAGCAATCACAGAAATATCAAAGAAAATTTGAGAGAGCAATTTGTGTAAAAAAATTGTTGAGTTGAAAATATTGATTGGAGATATTTAAATAATGTAATAAAAATACTAGAGCATTAGGTACTCCCTCTCAATTCCATACAATAATGATTAAAGACTCAAATCTTAACTTGAGACAAGAATCAGATGTCGGTTGATTTGAGTAACAAATCAAGTAAGAAAACTAAAAGTTATAATCAAAAGATTATTCAGGAACCTGAATAATCATTCAATTATATTATTTTATAAAATAATAATAAATATCTCAAGCGTGGAATAACCAATTATTTACTCGCAGGAAAATTCAAGCAATCGATGTACATGGCACAACGACTAAAGGATTTTTATAGAATAAAAAGTTTACTAAGAAATTAGAAGTTAAATTAACAAAACATCATAAATCATTAAGCACAGAGTCAATAATAGTACCGTACTTCGTTCAGAGGTTTTCCCCTAACCCTAGCTTAGCCTTCTAGCCAGACATAACGAACTAAAACAAAAATAAAAAGATGAAAAAAAGAATAATCATAATCTCTAAATGAGAACCCCTATTCATACTAATAATAAATCCTAAGTACAGGTTGAAAGGAATTCTTTTTCAAAAAGAAGTCTTGTAAGATTAAATTCCGTGTATAAAATTTTTGGAACGCGGGTACAAAATCTGTCCAGACTTCGAGTTTAAATTTTGCATATTTAGAGGTTGAATCACGAAAATTTCATGAAATACACTTTTGTAGTCCTTGAAGTCTTCTTTCTAACTCCCAAAAATCAAGTACATCAGATATCAGAGTCAAAAGTTATGACCAAAATACTAAAAGAGTGTCAAATCTTTTTCTTCTTAGACACTTTCCTAATTCAACTCTAAATAAGTTTTCTTCCAACTTAGACTCTTATAAAGATTAAATTGTTGTCATATCTTCAAGTCTTCCAATCTCAATCATAACTCTTCAATCCTTATCAATTGTGATTCTTCCTCTAATGATTGTTTCACTTGCATTATCCATTATTACTTTAAATCAACCAATTTACCTGTAAATTAAATCAAACAACTAGAAAAAGTATGAAACTAAAAAATCAAGGAATTTAACACATTTAATCACAAATAATTTGTAATTAATCAATCATTAAATATAATTAAATAATAATTTTGATGGTTAATCACTACCCAACAACCTGCAACAACCTAGATTAGACATCAAATGCCTTCCTCAGAACTATGGAAAAACTAAACACCTACATCAGCCTTTATCATCAAAAGTCAGCAATTTTCTAACCCTCAACACAGGCATTCCTCCCTAGTCTTGCATCGATAGTAGCTTCGTCATTCTATGCAATTGCATAACAGTTGAAAAATTCGTTGTTGCCCTGTCCTGGACAGCCTCATTTGCCTGAGTTGAAGGCTTGAAAGTTGAAGTTTCTCATCGCCTAAGTTAGAGACATTGATTGAGTGAGAAGGATTGAGTTTTCTTGGGCTTTTACTCCTCGCCTGAGAATTGAGTGGTCGTCTGAGTGCTCACCTGAGTGATAAGTGATGGCCTAAAGGGTGAGTGGTGGTCTGAGCGGCCACTGATCTGCGAAGGGCGAAAATGGGGTGGGAAATATATATATAACATGTGGAATTTCAACCGGCTTGTTCAGCGATTTTCAGCCAATTTACTTCCTTAAGTGGTTTAACTACAGAATCGAACCATTTTAAGTCTCGATTCACGGTTCAATCGATCCAACTGGCCAGTCTGGTTCGGTTCTGATAATACTAGTCAGGAGGGTACCGTTGTCTTTTTTTCCCCAATTCTGTTCATTATGCCACGTGTCTAACTCCCCCTAGTTGAGTGTCTTGTTCATTCTGCCATTCTAACTTCGTTGGGGAGAGTACCCTCATGA